GGGAGGGAGGCAACATGGCAACCAACCTGTCCATTCGAAATCACAAAGAAATGAAAGCTTTGATGTCACGTCAGAGATATATAACTCTGGTCACGTTGATGTTTTAAAAAAATAAAACAAAACTAAAATGACGGTAAAAATTGCGGGATACGTGGATTGACGAGGGTCTTCAGTTTATGTGACTGTGAATAACGTTTGCTGATTACTTGCAGATAGAATGGAGTGTCTGTTTACAAAACACACAGTGAATGAATGAAATCCTTTTTCTATTATGTCATCACTAGCTAAGGAAAATGAATCAAAGAAAGTTGGTCGGCTTTCTCCCTATGATTCATTTTTTTCTGAAGGGGATGAAGTATGCTGTATGTATAAACGGCTAGGAGTATTTGATGTTGACAGTGAAGAATTGTGCCACAAACAGTAAGTGTGATCGTCTTAATTTTTTAAATAAATATTTTTGTTTTCACCATGAAACTTGTAGGTAGTTATTATTTTGAATCAAATTTGCAGAGTTACAAATCTTGTCTGCGAGATACCAGGATGTGGCACAGAATTACAGTCTGTTATGGAGTTGGAACTACATTACAATTCCATCCATCGATACACATGTGCAACTTGTCGCAAGTCGTTTGCTTCTGCACATTTGCTAGATTTACATATTGAAGAAACACATGATTCATTTTTTGCTGTTCAAGCTGAGCGAAAACCTATGGTATGTTTAAGATATTTTGTACTATCTAATAGTCCCATGTATAATTTCTTGTAAAAATGTATATTTTGTTGTTTTCAGTATCGATGTTTAATTGAGAAGTGTTCATCAAAATTCAGTTCAAGTCAGGAACGACATGGACATTGTGTTGATTGTCATGCTTTTCCACCAAATTTCCGATGGATGACTCCTAAGGTAACAAAGCCAAAAGCTTTTAAAGTTGGATCTCAGGAAGGAAAGAGAGCAACCCACAGGGTTGGGTGTCCCAGTGGTTTTGAATGTGGTGTAGCAATGGATGTAGATAATTCTGCAGAAAGTAGTAAATCTGAAGTTAATTTTGTGAAACCTATCAAAGGTATTGTGTTTGGTAGGGGACAGGTTAAGAAATCGTTTAAAAGTAATGGAACTGATTGGCATAAGAGAGTCGTGGACAAAGTTCAAGAGCCCAGTGCTCTTGAGAGTTCAGAACTAAGTAAAGACCTTATGGACACTCTTCCTGATGTGATCCCATAAAACTTTGCTTAATGCCCTGAAGTTTTAATATTTTCTTTGTAAGTCTTCTTAGTTAAACCAGTTAAACAATTAGTGCACAGTATATTTTGATTTTGAGTTCTTCGTCAAAGTCTGTTTGTATTGTATGCTTCCTTCAGTATTTCTCTATTTGGAAAAAAAGTAAATAGTAAAATCCGTTAATCCCGTTTATTCGATATTTCGTACCCAATCCAACCATCGTTAATTATTCCGTCTGAAAGCAGGCGTGTGGAGGCAGATAGCGCAGCACATCGAGAGGGGGAGGTATGGGCCCGGGGGGATGCCAGTAGGGGGTTGGGGTGCGGGGGCTCGTGACACACCCCACCCCGGCCAGCCCAGTCCGGCTCAGCCCCCTACGGGAAGCCCCGCAAGGGCATGACGGCCGAGTATAACGAACTCACGAGTACACAGCAGACAAGCACACAAGCCAGGCGAGGGTCCCGGGGTCCCAACCGGGTTGGGGGTGCTTAGGGGTGCTGTACGGGGTAGTTCCCGGACGAGCCCCAGTGCCAGGCTAGAGCAAAGACTCGACGCTTGACGAGCCTTAACGACTTCTTAAGGAACATCCAGGACTTTTGCCATTATAAGACACCATCCACATCAATAACTGTCTCGCTTGCTCCCCCCTCCCCCTCCCTCTCTCCCCTTCTCCTCTCCTTCTCTCCACCTCTCCTTCTCTCCCCCTCTCCTTCTCCCCCCCCCTTCCTCTCTCCCCCCACTCTCTGTCTCTCTCTGCCTCTCTCTCACACACACATCTACACATACACGAATGCAGCATGCGCCGCACTACGTTCGCCAAGATTGATTAAACTGAAACGCGAGCCAGGCCGGTAGCACGTGTGCCATCCCCTAGCGATTAGCCGGTTATCGGCCCGGCGCGGCGGCCCCCACAAGCAAAGCAAGCTAAGCAAGCAAAGAGCAGCAAAGAGCCGACAGACGCAGTCTTGAGCGCCTCCCTGGGCTCGCCACACCTGCAGAGCCATTGAAACTTACCCCAAAGACCAGAGCAATACCGGACTCATTGATTGATTACGCATTGTGGGGAAAAGGCACCGGGGGGGGGGGGGCATCCGTGTCGGAAATACCGAGCAGAGCGTAACGACAGTTGTTTTGCGACTCTTTATTTCGTAAGCGCGGCTCAAATGACTGTAATGGTCGGCATAACGGCGTGGTACACCCCAAAGACTTGTCTATAGAGTCACACAAGCGTGCGCTTGGTCGCGTGGCTGGGTGCCGGGTGCCGGGGTGCTATGTATGTTGCCGCGCCCTTCCGCGAACAGAGAGTGGAGTGAGTGCGGCCAGCGGGAGCGCAATAAAGGACACCCGAGGGACACCTGATGGGATGGGGACACCGCGTCACCACGACGACCGGGCTCTGCAAATATTGACTCGTGCTTGTTTCGGTGGTGCCCCGGGTCTCCGCTCCTCTCCCCTCGCAGCCCCGCGGCCGATCCTGGGCGCTGAGCTCCGGCGATCTGCAGGTGCGATAGCGGGGCCGTGTGGACCGCGGCCGATCCGCGGGGTAAACAAACACGGCAAACATTGCGAGCAGCGCGACGGGCTGGGCTGCAAGGGAGGCAGACAAGAAAGTACATCAACGCCTGCCTGGTAGGCAACACACTCTTGAGAAGGGGTTGCCTGAATAGGCTGGCGTTGATGCAGCCAGCGCCATACCCCTCTGTGTTTGGGTTACTTATTGTTAGCGTTGAAAGCCCTGGAAAGTTTCCGGAATATTTTGGAAATTTACAACTCCTCTGACAAAATTGGCGGGGGAGGGGGGGGGGACGAGCAACCACCCAGCCTACGGCTGGCTTTCCTCTGGAGACTGATACAAATCTCAGTATTTAGTCGCCACAAGTGCTGCTTATGGCAAATATACGACCTATCAGAGGCGCGCAGGTGGACAAACTGCTGCTCGAAGTCTGTACTATATCGGAACCGGGAGGGGAACGGTGTACGGGCGAAAGGGAATAAGGGCTAGGCTGACGGGAGGGCGCGGTGGATGAGGCGGCAACTCGACACCGGACACGGCCCTGCGCGACGTGGCTGACATCTTCCTCTACCGGCCGCCCCCCCTGCCGACCCTGCCTGCCCTCCGGCCGGAGGTAGGCCTACCCTTCCCTCCGGTACCCCTAAAGGACGTAACTCAAACCGATCCGCGCCACCAAAGGTAACGTACCGGAATCGGGAAGGTAATGCAGCATGTGGATGCAGCCGGCGGGATAAGGGGAAGTCCGCCGAGGGATACGCACAGGGTAGAATTTAGTGTAAAATACGAGCAAAGTATGCCGTCGGTACGGCTGCAGTACCTGTCGTTCACCACGAATAATAATAATTATACACTGGTAAAACAAGGGTGCAAAATTTGCACACCAACGAGTGCAAGTTATGATGTTGCACATTACATGGTGTTTAACTCAAGTTGCACACTTGCGTGGATTGCACATTTTAGACGTTTGCACACTCGGATACTCACAGTTCTATGTTGTCTAAAGGAACTTTTTGGTGTGCAGCTGCTATACTTTTCGGAAGTGTCGAAAGTTTAAATACCACTTTACGTTTAACGTAGTCTGACAGCACAATGGGTCGAGAAAATGCACACTTGAACTTAAACATCAATTGACGTGCAACATCAAACACTTGTTTTACGAGTGAAGCTCATCCAAGAAAAGAAAGGAATAACTACTGTGTAATTTAAAAAAATAAAAAATAAAGGAGAAGCGAAGGGATGGGGGCGCTTTTTTTCCTTTGGTAGAGAAAGTCTTGAAGACTGTCTAACAATTCTATTGCGGCGTTTTGCGGCAAGGAGATGACGAGGGTCATCTCGCAATGAAACGCCCACACCGCACCCCCGCGGGGAGGGCGGGTCGCGTCGAGGCGCCCCCTCCCCTCCCCCGGGCAGCGCGGGACGCCACACGGATGCACAGATCGTTGTCGCAACGGTATCACTTTGCGGAGCGCGCGGTGGCGCTGGGTGGCGAGACATACGTTGTGGCTAACCGGCCGCGTATCTGATGGGTCGAATGGATTGACCGTGAGAATCGCATACTCGCGCGTTCAGCTTACCCAGTCCGTTCCGTGTCCGTGAGTGAGGAAAAGTTTTCTAGAGTTCTCAGTCGAGTGAGTCCTGGGCGGTCCGGGAGGAGCCCAGTCCAAGACGCCTGCAGAGGCGTCAGGTGCGTGCGAGTACAGTACCTATCGTCGTGTCTTGGTGCCCGACCCGATTCAGAACTCGGGATCACAGAGCCGTCCCAGCCGACGGAAGCATAGCGTCGCGTCGGCCGGCGCCCTCTGTGGCTTGTACGTACGCGCTTTGGCAGGTGCGCCAGCAGGACAGGGGGCCGAGGCCCTCTCACCTCGGTTCCGGCCGCTCTTCTTCCGGCGAGGTGCCACACACCGCCCCGCCGCACCCAGCCCCGCCTCCAGCCCGCCCGGGACCCGTCCGCTATGGCTCCCGGAGCGTCATCCGGTATCGGGTTGCACAATTGTTCCAATCGAACGGATTCCACCATCAGTCCAGACGAGTCAGCCTGACTCAACGTCTGCCGCTCGACGGCCACCGGGTTACATATTGGCACCGCTTATGCCCAAGGCGACAGGTCCGGGCTGACACCGGGGGGGGGG